TGAAACCAGTCTTAAATAAGTAAGTATTAGCTTCAGAGATGTCAACCAGTACCTTCTACAATGCATCAGGCCAGAAACTTCCTTAGGATTTCCATGTACCTCTGCTTGAGTGTCTCACTGTTTCCCAGCTAGGATTTCTGCTTGTGCATGTGGTGCTGTGTCTTCACTTCCACAGAACTCTTCCTCTTTGGTCTGTCCCTTTCCAGCTATGAAATGGCACTTTGTTTGGCTTAGTCTGGTAACAGAAAGTTGCTTTGTAGCAGAGAAAAATCTGACCGTTTAGGTGTTCAATCAGCAGTACTTTCTACAGTTCTTCTGGACAAGTCACTTGTGTCTTTGACTGCTGGAAATTTTAGATTTGTGGTAGCACCAGAAATATCTCCTTTTGGTGCTTCTAATGTAGCTCTGCTTGATGTGAGAAAAACTGTTAAGTAGTAAATGGGTACATAGCTTTTAGGTACCTTTTTTTTTTTTTTTAATAGATTTACTTCTGTTTAACATTATGGTTCTGCATTGTTCTACAGATTGCACCTTTGCAGGTTATCCTTTTGTATTACTTTTATATGGAACTCAGTACTTTCTCTAGGTCAGTCACTTGCATTAGAGCTTGGCAATGGCTTCTTCAAAGTCTCTTCCTCGCTTTTTTAACACTTCTGCATATTTATATGCAGAGTGTTTGTTCCGCTGAAATTTGTTCTGCTGCTTTGTTAGTTTTATAAATGAATCATCTTGTCTGTAGAATGATTTTGACTCACTCATTTCTTCTTTTGCCTACCAGTAACACAGTGTATACTACAGTAATGAGTGCTGCATTTCCAGAGAAGTACCAGACATGGATCAGAATTATGAAGTGAGGAGGAGTAAATAACATGCTGGTATGCTTAGCAACTTGTACTTCAATAAAAATTCCAGCTGACGAGTCATTGGGGGACAAAGCACTGCAACCATACTGAAGTGACCTAGTCTGAATTCCTGATTCCCTTGGTTTGCTTATTGACCTTGGTTAAATACCTTCCCTAGTTGATTTAGAGATAAGAGTTAAGTACTGACTTTCTTTGCAAAACCCTTTGAGATTACTATAGGAAAAGTACTTTTAATAAAGTAGAGAGGAAGGAGTGGCTGCCGGGGTAACCTACTGATAGTTGTTTGCTAAATGAAAGCTTTAAGTATTGTTTTTACCAGTTCTACTAGTGTGATACGTTTGGTGTATCTTCAGGTGGCTAACTATGACAGGAAACCCTGCTAGTGGTGAGCTGAACCTGAGCAGGTGATGTTCAGCACTTGGCAAAAGCAAAGATTGAGTTTAATTTGTGTCAGCCTCTCACAGCCAACTGAACATCAGCATGTCCTTGAGAGCAGCTCGGCAGAGAAGGAGCTGGGGGTCCTGATGGACGAGAGACTGAACATGAGCCAGCAGTGCGCTCTGGCAGCTCGAAAGGCAAATGGGATCCTGGGCTCCATCAGGAGAGGGGTGGTCAGCAGGGACAGGGAGGTGATCGTCCCTCTCTACTCGGCTCTTGTGAGGCCCCATCTGGAGTACTGTGTCCAGGTGTGGAGCCCTCAGTACAAGAAAGACATTGAGATTTTGGAAAGGGTCCAGAGGAGGGCGACTAAGATGATCAGGGGGCTGGAGCACCTCCCCTATGAGGACAGGCTGAGGGAGTTGGGCTTGTTCAGCCTGGAGAAGAGAAGGCTGCGGGGTGACCTCATTGCAGCCTATCAATACCTGAAGGGAACCTACACCCACGAGGGGAGTAAACTCTTCAAAAGGGCTGACAACAGCAGGACTAGGGGAAATGGATCGAAGTTGAAGGAGGGAAGATTTAGGTTGGATGTTAGGGGGAAGTTCTATACAAGGAGAGTGGTTAGGCCCTGGAACGGGCTGCCCAGGGAGGTTGTGGATGCCCCGTCCTTGGATGTGTTTAAGGCCAGGTTGGACAGGGTCCTGGGCAACCTGATCTGAATGTGTGTGTTTGGTGGCCCTGCTAGGCAGGGGGGTTGGAACTACATGATCCTTGAGGTCCCTTCCAACCCGGGTGATTCTGTGATTCTGTGATTCTTTGACATTTTTGTCCTGTCTACTTTTGGAAAAAGTCAAAGGGCTTCTGCTCATGCAGTGTCTCATGTGGTAGCTTTACTGTGTTCAAAGGAAGATATTAAGTTATGTATATTTCTTCCAAGAAACTCTGGTTGTGTGGACCTGGCAGGACCATAAAAAGCTGCACTGCATTTCAGATGGATTTTTAAATGTTCATTGGTGTTATATTCATAGTAGTTATATCAGACATTAGATTTTAGCAAGACTATTTCTTTTAGGGATTCTGAAGAGTTTGTTTCTTTCTACGCATGTATACAGACGTGTGCTCTTATGTTTATCTGTCTATCTTTTTATTTCAGCAAACTGAATAGGAGAAAAGTAGAAGCTTTCCAAGACCAGCATATGCTTTTAAAAACACTCCCAAAAGCAGTACAGTTGTTTCAGATTACTAACTGGGCGAACCATTCAGGCAATAAAGACTTGTTAGTACTTTAAAGTGTTGCAGATGATACTGTTAATGAACCGTAATGGAAGTTTGATTTTATTTTAATTATGTTGATGTTCTAGCAGATATTGATAGCTAAAATTTGCTATTATTGTTTTTGGGAAGAATTGTGCAATTTGAATATACTCATGTTCTGACCAATAAATAAAAAGTTGATCTATTTTGTGTGGAGTGTAGGTGTGGACATGGTGAAATAAAAATATGCGGCTGATTGCTTGATTTATGGAAACCTGTGGTGTTACTGCTAATGTCATCTATATCTGACTTGTATGGAGTCTGTGGTCATTAGCCCAGCAGCATCACTCAGTGCCCACAGTGAGCTGACATGGGTGCTGTGGAAGCTGGCAGACCAACAGGGTTGCTGCAGATCCTGAGACTGTCTCAGCCTTTGGCCATCCTGTCCTAATGTTGTCTGTAGACCTTGCTCAGCACAAAAATTACTGCATCAGTGCAAAGGAACGTGACTCTCCACGGTGTGAATACTGCTGCAGGTATCTTTCCTCTTCAGCTGCAGTTCTCCAGTGCACAGGCTCTTCAGCTGTTATTCCTGGGCCTCTGAAAGGTATCTGAGAATCATGTAGTCACATGGAGGTTCCCAAGTGATTTGAAGAGTACTTGTCCTCTAGTAGTAGGTAAGATATTGGATCATAGAGACTTTCAGTCTTTATAAGGAATAATTTTTTTGGTGTAATGTAAGGAAATGGGGCTAGGAGTAGCTGTGTGCATAGCCATAGGCTACTGTGCGTTTACTTATCAGAAATTGGGAGTTGTTTAAAGAGATGTGCTGATAAAGACTTCAGCTCCCTAATAGATGAGAGAAGCTTGGGCTGGAATAGCAAATGAGTTTAAGAAATGGTGTCATCAATGGAAACTTGACAACTCACTTTTTCTGGTGCAGACAGGTTTATTTCAGTCTGGTTATGCTATGACTGCATACTATGAATTGAGGCACTTCCTGCAAACATCCAGAAATACAGAAGGATTTAGAGAGTTGAGACTGATGGATGCCTACATAAAGCTGTTGGGGTACTGGATAAAATTGTGGTAAATGCCTGCAAGAATTTTATCTAGGCGACATTCCTGAATACGTGCACTGTCATTTGCAGTGGTTGTACTCCAGTTATGCAAACTATTCCTGAGAGAGCATTCTGGAGATGTGGTCCCTTTATCTCCTTGCACTGAGTCTGGCTGAGTGTCATAACCTACTTACCTGCATCCTCTACTTCTGCCTGGATAAATGCGTGCCAGCTTTGCCTTGACCCAGTTAGTACAGCGATGTTAGCAATTGTATACCAGAACTGATAAAAGCTGAAAAACATGTTTCCCAGAGGAAGATGTAAATAACAGAGGCCAGGATATCTCCAAGATATCGAGATGGCAGTGCTTTAATTCACAGAGCAGTCCCTGACTCCTCATTCCAGCAGGTTTTCGTTATGTAACTGCCACCCACAAGCAAAGACGAAATGATCCTCACAGGTGTAATTTTGCATAGTCTTCTTGACCTCAGCAGTGTTAGGCTGATTACCTTCTGGTAATGGCATGCTGGGATTCTCAGTGATTTGTAAAATGATACCAATGTATTTGTTTAAATGTATACAAACAGATCGGAGTGTATAAATATTTGGGATCCGTGAATTTTCAGCAAAAGTTGTCCACTCCTGTTCATGTCTATCAGTTGTTCAGAAGTTGCTCAGGCTCACCCACAGAGCATGTTATTGGAGGAAAAAAAAACAAAAAAACAAGTGGAGTACAGGAGGCTAGATTTGGAGAAATGCAGTTTTACTTCTGTTCCTTTTGCTCTTTTAAAGTATTTTCTGGAAGCTTTGTATTGCGTTTTATTACTGCATAGATGTCCAGGCATCCTGACTGCCAACAAAATGAAGCTTTACTGAAAGTATTTATTTACTGATTCCTCCAATCAGAAAGATTTACATAACTAGTTGAATTATATGCTAAAAAGATGAACAGTAAGTTTACAAGCCAGATGACTTAACCCATTAAATGTTTCGGCTCTTTTTGTGTAAGAAGTGAAATCTTTTATAAAGAATGCAGAGAGACTGGTTCTTATTTTATAGCTTAAAAAAAAAAAACAACAACAATGGTGGCTATGTAAGAAAACATTAAATGTAGCACTGGTTATTTCTGGTGGGTTTTGGTTCTTTGTGAGATCTGCTTGGTTTGTTCTTTGAAAAAAAGGAACACTTGTAGTTACTGGAATTGCTCACTGCTCATCCTTGTCTGACATTTCATCTGCTTTGTGTGCTGGCTTTTTAGAGAATGGGAAGTAAAACAGCTTTTCTGCTTTCTCAAGACCAGTTTTATGTCAGAATTGATAAGTAATAAATAAAAACTAAGTGGCATTACCCTTGCTTCCTCTCTTCTTTCATGTCTGCAGCCCAGGCTCCCTAGTTATAAAGCACCAAAGACTTTTCGGCTCAACATGGAGAACAGGTGAAATGTTTATTTCTTTTTCTTTGAGAAATCTGCACTTAACAAAAAGCATCTTGAAAGTGTGTAAGAGCTCATTCTTTAAGATGAGAGAGGCCAACCTACCGTCTTTCTCATTCCTAATCCTCCTCAGTAATCCTAATCCATTTCAGACCTGTAACCTTTCTTAAGCATCACATGGGAGAACGTTCTTAAGGCTGCTCAGAACAACTGCAGTAAATAAATCGAAGGATCTGCGCTCCCTGCACAACAACACGTGTTTTATTCTGCAGCTCTTGAAGGCAATGGCAGTTTCTTCTGCATGCCTAAGGGAACAATTTAATTATTCAGATATCTGAGGAGGAGTTTCTGAATCTGTAATCAAGTAAATCAGAGACTACTGATCACTTTGTTACTGAATGGAGATTATATAAGCAGGAGGAAAAAAAAAAGTGGAGAGCAAGCTGCTTTTGTGCGTATTTTAGCAAGTCCTTAAGCTAGCAATTGGTGGCAAGGTAAGTTGTATTTTTCTTTTCTCTGTAACAGGGTTTTTTGTTCAGAAGTAGTCACTTGGCACCCATAGTTTGAGGTGAAATGTCCTTTTATATGTCAGGGTGTATAAATCTATGGTTGGGACTTTCTAAGTTCTCCTTTTTGGCTTTGCTGTACCTGTGCAGGTGCAGAGTTCAGTGCATATATAAAATAAATTGTTTCACCATCATGTTTCCAGCTATGAGCAGCGCCAAGTCTGGTGTACACGTGGGACGTGAGTATTTAATCTAGGAGGGAAAGGAAGGATCATCACTTTCTCTAGTGCTAGTGACCATTTTATTCTTGTGAAAATTATTTGACTTTATTTATTTATTTCGTTGGTGGCTTCTAAGTGCCATGTTGATAAATTTTGTTTCACATCTTTCCTTTCACTGTTTTCTTCCTAGCAAACTCTCAGTGAGCGCATTTTGTTTTCTTGTTGCCTTCCAGATTCTATTTACCTCTTCCCTCAGTCACCCAAATGTCTGTAAAATGTAGTAGTGGGGACTCAGTTGTGCATGGGATATGAAAAATGTGTAGTCTTAGTTAGGAAATGTGCTGCTTTGATGTTAGCTCCATGTGCTCCTTATCAGGAGGCTTTTGATTCACAGGGGAGGAGACCCAAATTCTGCACAGATCTGTAGTCTGGACAAGCTCAGTGCTGTTATAGTGCATAGAATTTGATTCAAAATGATGTCACTTGCATTGGCTTTAAAATGATTAAATTAATACTTGCAAAAAACCCACTTGCAATAGGCTTTTGTTGTTGCTGTTTCGGACTGGTAATTTGTTCACGTTTTGTTTGTAGGGTTCTTTGGTAGTTTTTTTCTTTAATTGAGACACGAGGATTTATGCAAGTTTTCCTTTATTTGCTTTTATGTGTTATTATATCATAGGGTAGTATTAAGTCATCAGCTTGTGGTGCAAAATCAAATATATTATCCCATGGCTTGTGAAATGCATGTGGAGTACAGCTGTTAGATAGTTCTGCCTTTCCAGTGCTGACCCAGGTGAATGGGAAACATGCATCTCCTCTTTGCATCTGATCTTCTGCTGTTCTGTTAGTTGTCTATATCCATGTGCTGCTTTTCAGTCCATACGTTTTTTAATGTTTTAGTTCTGATGTAACTGCATACGTGAGGGCTCACCACCTGTTTTACTTAGCGTGTGTTTGTTAGAGGATGATCATTGCAGCACTGCATCCCAGGGGAGAGTCACAAGCTGAAGGCAAATGAATGTATTGCAGCTTCTCAAAAGAAGGGCAGGAAGCCTGTTTCAGAAGACTTCTGAGTGCACCAGACAAAACCTCAGCATCTCCGCATGAGGGGAACAACAGGAAGAACAAGACAAGGAATAGGGAGCCAACTGTCTCACATATGCATTGTTTTATCTCAAATACATACGTAATCTATATTTGAGGCAATGCCACTGTCATTGGGTATTTCAGCCTGCATTTTATGGGTCAACTTTTCTTTGAAACAGTTTTAGGTATAGGAAGGATGTATTCCACTGTGGGGTGGATGAGGAAAGATCACAGGTGCTGAGCAGTTGGGTTGACTTCATTTCTTCCTCACTCCTCCCACCCCTGAAGCAGGTTTCATTTCTTTGGATTCTCTGATTTATTGCATTGCACTCTTTTGCTTAGGCTGGGGCCCTCAGAAGAATCTAAGACAACAAAGTCAAAAAGTGGCTGGCTGCAGGAATTGCTTGGGAGAGACCTTTTAAACAAATAAGAGAACTAGGTAGGAGCACTCTACAGGCGCTCCTAATACTCAATCATCCCTCTGTTTGGATGGCCAGAACTTATCCTTAAAGTAGGACTGTGCAATAGCAAATGGTTGAGTTGGTTGTCTGGTTTCGCTGGAAAGGGTGGAAATAAGGAAGAGTTTTATTTTGTGTCTCCTACAGTGATCTCAAATTCAAGGTCGTATTTGATCAAAACAGATACGTGGTACCCCTGAACACACTGTAGGTATTTACTTAAAATGTGTTTGTTGTTTTTTGGTTTTTTGTTTATTTATTTTTTTTTTTAACTGATCTGGCAGAGTTCTAGCTCCTAAAAAATGAATTTTTCTCATGCTGGTATTTTTAAAGGTATCTTTAAAGCATCCACCTTCCTTTGAGGCTGGCAGTGTCAGGTCCCTGAGGTGCAGCTAGGCACACAGGTTGTGTTGTCCTGCCCTGTGGAGGAACAGTTGGCCGCACTAGCTGTCTTTCAGGGCTTTTTTTTTTTTTTTTTTTGATCTTTTTGGAACTGGCCTGAATCTGCTCCTGTGAATTAATTGCTCCCATTTAGTAGGCAGAGCATGTCCTCTGGTGTCATCTCATCTAAAAGGAACCCGTGCTGGGCTGTTTCAGATCGCCCTGCTGCATATACCAGAATGCAGTGAGTAGAGATGGTTGGAGATGTCTCTAGAATGAACCATTCTTTTGAGCTGTTAGAGGATATAGCTCATAATTGTTGAAATCTTCAGATGTGTCTCTTTGGGAAGGCATTTTTCTTTGAATATCCATACGGGAATTGTAAGTCTACACATAGAAATTCTGAGCTTGAAAATCTGTTCTTCCTGAAGTGGGATGTGCCATACAGGAGGAGACAAGGAATGGCCTTAATTGCTTGAGCTTTGGATTTTTTTGTGTGCGCAATTGTCTGCTTAAGTAGTTAATAGTCTGAAAAGCTGTCAGAGTAACTGCGTTATGGAACGTAAATACCGTAAAGCATCTGATGTATTTGGGCATAATTTGCAATGATTTCAGGCCACTTATGGCATTGATATTAAATAATGTTAAAGTAGAGTGAGTGATATTTTATTAGCAACATTGTGAAGTATTCTCCTGTTGCATCATCTGTACATCTTGAAGTTGTGCAGTTCAGCGTTCTGGGCAGGACAGAAAACTTCAGCGTTCTATCCATCTAGAAACATTCTGTGCTGACATTTAGTTCAGTATGGATCATCTCCCTGAGCAAGGAGTGCCCATGTACCTTACACAACACCGGATGTGTCCCTTCAATCAGCGTTTCTGCCCATCTGTGTAGCTATTTTGAGAGGAAAGATGTGGGCTAGGTAGAAAGAGAGCAACTAGGCAAAAGGGCTGCAAGAAGTGAGGAAAGGAGAAGGGATTCTCCCTTCTCTAATGGGAAGAAGTGCCTCTGCAGTCCTACTGTTCTGGCCCTTCAGAAACCTTTGAGATGTGGTCTCCTGCTTGCACCAGGCTTAGCACTGATTAAGGTAATTTTTTCCTTCCTTTCCTTTCTCGGCTTTCTCCCCTGTACCCAGTTCTGGGTTAAAAAACAAACAAATACAACAAACAAAACAACAAAAAATGCCAAAACTTTAAAATTCTTTGTGATACAGCCTGGAACCACTGTAAATAGTAGCACATGCAGTTTTATTTTTCCTATTTTCCCCTCCTCCCAGAGGAAATGTCTGACAGTGGAAGGCACCCTGATTGTCCTCAGTGAGAGGTTTCAGAATTTTGACCTGTTCTTGAAACAGGATCCTTTTGCTCTGAACAGAGCAAGCAGTGAGGTTAACACAAGTCTGGCTGTCCTGTTCCTTGATGCTGGCCAGGATCTGAGCAGTTGATGGCATCGTACGCCCCCGCACTCAAGCAGATCCGCGAGGTGAAGAAAAGCAGTTTTTATTTAACAAAGCTGATTATTTTCTTATGATAGCTAATTGTTATTTTAGACTTATCCCCCCTCGTGCTGTGGAACTGCAAATAGATTTAAATACCATATGTGTGTTCATCCCTCATAACAAGAGTTATCCTTCGCAGAAGGATTTATGCATGAATCTTTGCAGATACTGAAGAGCTGCCAAATCAACTTATTTACCAGATCAGTATAAAAAAATATTTTTCTATGTGCTGTACAATATGCAGTCATGGAGTATTTTAGCACTTTTTGCCTTATTCAAGTGCTTTAGCTGTGCGTGCGTGAGGGAAGAGGTATCATTAGGATTCAGAGCTGATGTCTGTTCTCAGAGCTCAATCATGCTGATTTTCTGGTAGCATTTGAAATGGAGGTTCACATCAAAGACAACCATATTGCTAAGAGTTTAGAAACCTAAAATTAAACATGTGGAACATTGTGTGAATACACAAATGCCTGATTTATCCATCTACTGTACAATTGCAGTAACACACAAGAAGTGTCAGAATTACTTCTATTCATACAGCTGACTTGAAATTTGAAACAGACGGGAATCCTTGCGTCAGATGGTCTAAAAGACAGCCAAGTAGCTGGAAATACATGTTAGCAGAAAAGATACTTTGGTACAAGACAGGACATCCGCTTGTTGATCTTAATAAGTGTTAATATATTTAATTACAGACTCAGCACTGTGGGACATGTTACAGCAGTTTGGATTCTGATCAAATGCTTTCCTGCACCTCTTGTGTGGTTTTGGTGATACTGGGCCAGACTGTGGCATTCTAGGAGTACCAGTTGGACAACATGGGATCTGGTAGTTCTGTAAATGCCAACTACAAGTACTCTCTACAGAAGTCTGAAAATGGTGAGTGATTCTTTGAAATGTAACCTTTTCCTGTCTGTTCCTGCACGTGCTGCTGGAAGGTTGTGGTGGGATGTGTTTCATTTCCAGATTCTCATTTTTCTCGATAGTCCTGAGAGTAGGCTATGTCTTTCGGACATTCCTGTGATGAGGAATTTCAGATGTCATGCAGAAAGCCCACACTAGGTTTGAGGAAACATCAGCTGTTCAGATAATCAATACAAATCTGACCAGAAAGGAAGCAGCAAAAAGCCTTTCTGTTGGAACTAACGTCAGACAAACGAATCAATTTCTGGCTAATGCGTGTGTGCTGTAACCTCATGTGCTGTCAGGGTGATAGATGATGATAGCACAGTGCTCCTTTTGCTGGACCTCCCGCTTAAAGACTATATTTGGGTGCAGAACTGATAAAGCAGCAACATTATCTCTAGCTATCTGCCTTTATTTCTGCAGTGTCTTATAAAGAAATCATACTCTGCTGGCACTTGCCATGCAGGAGACTTGGCAAGATTATTCTGGTATACAATTGCTTTGGTTATAAATGGTTTCAGAGAAAGAAGATAGTATTTGCTGACAGCTGATTTGTGAACTTTAGTGCTAGCATAAACTGGCATAATTGAGTTCAAGTGCTGCCACTTTGGCATGCTTTTCAGTTTACATGATGAGGTATGATTCCGTTTACTACTTGGATCCTCATAAAATAGATTGTAATATTTCAAAGAATCTGTTTTTTGTTTATACATGTGGAGTCTTGACTACCAGTTTCTGCTCGGGATTCACTTGAAGGACACCTGACTCCTGCTGCAGTGTTTGGATATTGTATCCCCTGTTAAGGGAATGTAACGTGTTTAGAAGTTAGATATTTTGGAATGATTGTGACTATGGCTTTGGCTGCATGCCAGCCAAATTGCTGTAGAGAGAGTAAGGCAGCTGGTGTGGAGGCTGCTACAAAGGAGGCTTGAGGAGGTAGCACTGGGGGAGCGCAATCTACAGAAAAAACAGTCAGCCTTTTTTTGTCTCCTCAGAGCCCAGCAGATCAGAAGGCACTTTTTCAGCCCAGGCAAAAACTAACACAAGTTATTCTTGAATTAAGGCTAACCAAATCTTACTTCCTTGTCCATGCCTACACTGTGACTCAGTTCCCCATCTGCACAACAGCAACAGCTCCTTCCTTGCCATGTTTTGCACCTCCTAATGGTTTTACAGTAGTATAAACTAGAAGGATTCTTACATTCAATACGTAAGCCATCAGAATATCTTCAGGTAAAGGTCAAGAAGTGTTTCATGCTGAAGTACATAGGAAGTTTACATTAATAATACAAGATAATTAATTGAATGTGTTGTCTGTGTCTCTTACCAGAACTGAGAAGCCTTTGGGGCAAGGGTGAGAGGTATCATTCAAGATTTTCCAACCCGTGCACCCCATTGCTCTTCCTGCTCTGGTGAACACAGCACTGCTCTCACAGACCATGTGCCAAGGGAATGCAAGTTTCTGCAGCTGTGCTAACTGTAGTGTCTGTTTGATTTTGGGGCCAGCTTCTAGGCAGAGCAGTTGTCCTTCCCCTAGCTGAAGCTTGATACAAAGAAGATCTGTTAGGAAATGCTTTAAATGCAGGGCTCTAAATGAGAACAAGAAGGGACACAGATCCTGATAAAAAGAGGTGCCAAGTAGTAAAAGGCAATGTAAAGTAACCAGACAGTTCAAATAGTGGTAAGACCAGCTAAGGTAGATATGTGTTCCTAGAGAAGTACAATGTTTGGCTGCAGAATTCAGAGAAGTAAATGGGAAACTGTACCAGTGTACTTTGCTTTAAAGCACACACCCCAACTGAAATGATCTTGTAATGAAAATTGCTGGAATTGGAGACGTGCAGAGGATTTATGTGTTAAACACCAGGTAGTATGGCCATCGTTTGGAGGGAAGAGCCTGGTGGCACTGTTGGCTGTGGATTGAACCATGAAACCACTTGGAAACCCCTGGCCTTTCATTCCTTCTGTCATTAAGCAGATGAAGAGCTGCTTTTCCCCTTTCTCTTTATTTTACTCCAAGATAATGAAACATTAACATTTACACTAACACAGATCACTTCCTGATGTTTGACCACAAATGCAGAAGCTGAGGTATTTATTCGGCTTAAAGGAAGGGAGGTAAAAACCTTTTTTAGTTTTAAGGTTCTGGAAAGGGACTCAGTGTCTTGTTTTATTCTCCAACATTTTGTATGGTCTCAGTCAAGTGCCTGGCCCAAAGCCTAGACTGTAAGGAGGGACATGAAAATGATGACAGTAGATAGAAGGGATTCATCTGTCTGTTGACACTGAAGGATGTAAACAGACATGTAGGCAACAGTAAATTCTTAACGTGCTGAAGGTCTGGTAGTGATAGAAGTACTTCAGAGGTCTCTGAGCAGGGTAAGATCACCTCTTGAAATAGAGTGAAAAGATGTGGGTGTTCTGTTATACTTAATGTTTAGGCATCAGAACACCTTTTCTGAAAACTTCCTCCTGGAAGAGAAAGATCTCTCTTCAGCTGTGAAGGTCAGGAAAGGAGCGTAGCAGGGTGGTATCTCAGCTGGTGCAGCAGCTGAAGCTCAGCAGGTTGCTCTGGTTTTGTTCCCTAGCTTTCAAGGCAGCTGTTCTGATCCAAAGGTGGTATCGGCGCTATGTTGCTCGCCTGGAAATGCGCCGACGGTGCACTTGGAGAATCTTTCAATCCATTGAGTACGCCTGTGAGCAGGATCAGATCAAGGTAAGGTGCCAAAGAAAGGAGTACACGGGGAAAATTCTCTCTCCGTGAGGATGAGCCAATGGCAAACTTTTTGTAAGGCAGGAATAGGCAGCTTCTTCCTGTGTGAGTGTGCAAGACGTAGGATGTCACAATTTCTAGGACACTGTAACCTATGAATCAGGAAAAACTTCTTTACAGAAAGGGTTGTTAAGCACTGGAATAGGCTCCCCATGGAGGTGGTTGAGTCACCATCCCTGAATGTGTTTAAAAACCCTTTGGATGTGGTGCTCAGGGACGTAATTTAGTGGACGGTTGATAGGGTAGTATGGTTAGGGTAGTATGGTTAGGGTAGTATGGTTAGGGGGTTGTGGTTGGACTTGATGATCTTCAAGGTCTTTTCCAATCTGAGCAATTCTGTGATTCTATAGATGGAGAGAAAAAAACATTTTCCTGAGGGTCTGCAGGAACTGCTTCTGTAAAAGTAGCTAGAGGTGAATGGAGCAGTCTGGGGAGGAAAGAACATCATGTATTAGGGAAGTAAAGTAATCTCCATGCATCAAGAATTTTACAACTTTGCATTAAATGTAGAGGGGGTCGTTATTTGTGGACATGGAATATTATTTGTTTGGGTTTTGGTTTTTATTTAGTAAACTCTGTCTCCTATGGAACTAATTCTCTCTTCCCTCTTAGGGGAACGTTCCTGGCCTGCCATTATTAGTCATTCTGGTAGGGAGGGCCTCCTCTCTGAATTCTCTGCCATGAGGATGCTGGCTTTGCCACTCGTTTCTGGCTGCTGGCTGATAGCCCTGCAAGTGCTTCAGGGCTGAGTTTCCTGCCTCCTTTTTACGTAAAGATTTCCCACCTGGTTGTGTGATATAACCCTAAGAAATTAGCCTTGAAACAAGCCCTAAGGAGCATTTAAAATCTCAAGCCCTTTCCTGAGTCTGAATACAAGAGCCAATCCTCATTGGATTGCTTCGTTTAATTTTATTTAACATTCTCTTCTATCACTGCCTTTCTGCCAAGCAGGGAGAGAGCTTAGGGGTGTTCTTCCATGTGTATGGCTGAAGGGAAAGCTACTACTATTACTTCATTATAAGAAAAACAATACAGAACACATATAGCTTGATTTGTTGTACATGCCAGACAACATGACAAGGGCAAGGATGATACTTGCAAAAAGATGATGTTAATGTGCCACTCTGTAGAATTTCCAGTGAGCGCTGGGGATATTCCAGAGCAAATTATGATGAGCTTTCTTCTTGCAGCTTCACAACTTCTTCAGTTACCTCATGGACAACTTCACACCAAGCAGCAGTAAAGAAAGTAAGTTTGTATGTGTCTTTTGGAGATCGGGCACCAGCAGCTCAGAAGACTGCACCCTGTCCAGTGCTGCCCTTGGGAAGAGCAAGGCGGGGGGAGAGGGGGCAAGGCATCAGGAAATTGCAGAGTGAATTATATGGAGGTTGTCAGAGCTGTGCAAGGGATGTGGAGCTTCCTACTTCTTAGGAGCTGGAGGGGGAATAAAACCTTTGTATGTTTTCTAAGAATAGTATTAAAAATCTGCCTTCTTAAACTGTGGTAGCCAACACTTTGCAGAATCCATTTCTGAAGGTACAGAGAAGCTATATGTAGGGAACTGTGCTCCAGAGTATCAACGTTACTTACATTTAGGCTCTCACTGTCTGGGGAAAGAAGTGCTGTTGCAACTAGTACAGTATCTTTCTGAATCTGCAGTGAGCATTACATGTAATTTCCTAATGCTGAGAACTTGCTAAGGAACTTATGTCTGAAATCTGATGGTGCCATGTCAGAATTAGTTATTTACGTAACCTGCTGAAGCACTCATTCCTTCCTTTCAAGCTGGCACCCTTTTTTTCTCAGAGTCACCCGATACGTCTTAAAGCAAAGCCCTGTCAAGGAAGGGACATATTTTTTTTCAGTGTCTGTACAAAATGGCACAATAGTGCCCATTGCTTGAGATGGGCTGTGACATCTTATGGCAATGAAAAAAAAAACCATACATACTTATACCAATTTGGGACAATGCTGAGCATGTGAGTGGGTGCAGGCTTAGAAAAACAGTGTGACATGAAACAGCTCATTATACAGTTGTGCTTGTCACTGAAAATACCACTTCATGTAACCATGGCAACCAGTACCCACGTTTTTGTAGAAACTGGTGTAGCTGCTAGCACTGTTTGATGCATAGCATACTTGACTGAACCTTGACTCTGTAGCCCCTTCCTCACTGCAAATTCTGTGGTGGTGTCAGACCAGGAGCTAGCCTCTGCTGCTGCACTAGCCTGAGCAACAGCTTGTCTTTATCAAAGTACAAGAATGGTGTATTGAGCCAAATTAACTTTTCCTCATCTCTTTCATTTTAAATAAACAATGAAACCAACCAATCTGCCGTCCAGGGGATTTTATCAGTCGCATGTTCATAAGTGGAGAAAGCTTCAAAGAGGCAGAGCTGGAGAAGTACTGTGACTATGAATCCATGGAGGTGCCAGACTCCTACACTGGACCCCGTCTCTCTTTCCCACTCCTTCCTGACCATGCGACTGCCTTGCTGGAAGCTTTCAAACAAAAACAAGTAAGGATGCTGAAAGGAACCACGCTTCCCCCTTTTGCATACAGAGGTGTGGGACACCTGATTTGTGTTTGGACTGCCCAGCAGCTAAGCTAATTTGAACACAGCAGCTGGCAGGCAGCTAAACCAAGGGGTAGAAATGATCTGGTAGGTATTTTAAAGTGCAACTTTTCCTTTCAGAAATACAGTTCTAACAAACTGCAAAATCTTTGTAGGTATGTGCCACTAATAACCTTTAGCTTCATTTTAATGGAAAAAGAAAACCCACAGTAGTCCATGTTGAAACTTCTTCTTTTTCTCTTTTTTTTTTTTTTTTTTTTTTTTTTAAATGCTTTTATTTGAAAGAAAAAAAAAAAAAGTATAGGATGGCCCAGGTGGAAAGAATTAATAAAAATTGTTTTTGCTGTGCATATTTGATTCATGAGATAAAAGTATACTTGAAATGGGGAAAGAAAAAAGTCTAAAACTGTTTGGACTTTTTGTTTGTTTGTTTGTTTTACAAAGAAGTCCAGTACCAATTCAGCAATTGTAACAAGAGAAATCCTTGTATAACTGCAGTGTTCTGTTCCCATCCCTCAGACAATGTGCTGAACAGCAAAATGTGTCAAAGCCTCCCTTACCCAAACAAAACAAGACTTCTAAAAACAAATTCTCTAAAGCCTGTTAAATGCTTTTTCAATGGCCTTCAGCAAACATACTTGTGCAGATCACATGGCAAAACTCGACTTAATGTGAAGAAAGCAAAGAAAAATGTAGAAGATAGCAGCTTCTTACCTGTGATACCAGTCTGGAATTTCTGCTGCTCCAGTGGATGGTGCTGCCTAGTGGATTGCATCCACCACAGGGTGTGAGGGCTTTTGGATATTGTTGCCACCTTTGCTGATGCCAAGGTGAAGCTGCTTTTGCCTGGAATTTGTGTTGTTCTGTTTGCAAGCTGTGACTGTTGTCACAGTAAAAGTTGCATGAGTCTCCCATCCAGGCTATTGCAGAGGGCCCTTGGGGCCTTTGCAGACAGCTGTTACTGTTTGGAAGTCACTGATTTCCTGCTTTAATTCCTTCACTTTCTCCTAGTAGCAGCTCCACGCTCGCTATGTCTTAAACCTTCTACACGAGACCAGGAAGCACCTCAAGCAATTGCCAAACATCAGTCACGTCTCCACCTGCTACAGTGAGGAGGTCACCGTGTGTGGTACGTCTGAGCGGGAAAGCACTGCGCAGCCTTTGGGGAAGAATCTTGGTGCAAGGGATGGCAAACATATGATTTGGTACCATATGACTGTGGAACATAAATGCAGTCCGCATGTAAAATGTTGCGTTGAGAGGCAGCTGCAGCTTTCTCTGAACTATCTGGGTTTACCATACCATGCTGTATTTGATCTGCAGCTTAGACTCTCCTGAACCTTGTAGGCAGCAAGATTCCGTTACGGCCTGGTTTCAGCTTGGATTGGAACAGGAACCTTGAACGTTATGCCAAACCTTGAACTTCCTCCAGTATTTTAGCGGTCATTAATTTATAGAGGAGATACTTTATAGGAAGTTATTTATCTGTATATTTTTCAGTTAAAGGTAAACACATTGTGACTTGTCTTTTTGTGCCTGTCAGGAGACTTGCATGGCCAGCTGGATGACTTGTTCCTCATATTTTATAAGGTAAGCACCTTGTTTGGTGCGGGGGAGGCTGGCCAGACATTATGAGAGCTATCACATGGATCATGCTAAGAAGCATTTGCAAGTTGGGCCCTTAAGATCTAATTCTCCAGGTCAATTTAAATGGTTTTACAAAGCTAAAGCTCATTCCTTCACTGACTTTTAAATCTGTGAGAACTGTTGGAACATACAAATACATTTGGGAAGTGCCAGTGAATGGTTTTTTTGTTTTTTTTTTTTTTTCTTCTTGAAGTCCTAATACCAATGGCACCACCTTCTGACTCCCTGTTTTCACTTTTCAGTGCATTTGCCACTGGGAACCTAGAGGATAAAAATAAGTTAGGCTCTGTTCTATAAGGTAACTTGGGGCAGGAGTAAGAGGGCATGCAGCTGGTGGGAAGGTATATGAGGATCATGGGGAAACCTTTCTTGTAACATAATTCCTGTCCTTACTTTTACAGAATGGCCTTCCTTCTCCTTCCAAGTCCTATGTGTTCAATGGGGACTTTGTAGATAGGGGCAAACAGTCCCTTGAGATCCTCATCATCCTCTTTACCTTCCTTTTGATATATCCAAAAGAGGTTCATCTCAATCGTGGGAACCATGAAGACCACATGGTCAACTTACGGTATGAGTTCCTTGTGGGGCTAATGACAATGTCAAGGGTATTGCTGCAAAATCCCACTCAACTTGTGTTCTGTTCCTGCAGGTATGGTTTCACAAAGGAAGTCATGCAGAAATACAAGGTAGGCATGTGTTCGTGTCTTCTGCAGCAAGTGAAATGTGGACTTTGAAGGCCTGAGGCTTCATCTTTGCTTTTCTGCCTTGTCCTCCTAGTTGCATGGGAAGAAAATCTTGAAGATGATTCAGAATGTGTTCTGCTGGCTACCTCTGGCCACCCTGATTGATCAGAAAGTCCTTGTTATACACGGGGGTGTCTCTGATACTACTGATCTGGACATGCTTGAGAAAATCCAAAGGAATAAAGTATGTTTTATTTCCTGGATGTTGCAAGAGAAATCTGTGTTACTGATTTGTGATTTGAGAGCTTACACCTATGTGCAAACTTGGCTGTTGACAAGAGAAATGTAAAGGATGGTCTTCGTAGTCAAAAAGTGTGTTTGTGTACGGTCCTGGAGCGCATCGATTTCATTTAATAGGGTGTGTGCAGGAGATGTGAAGGGAAGAAGTGTTATTGACTTCTGGAAGCTGAGAGTATTGTAGCCAGGTAAACGGTGGACGGTTACATTGTTACATGGGTGTGGTGGTATTGACAGTAATAACACAGCAGTGACAGGGTCTTGTCATCCCATGGGTCATTAGTCTTTTTTTTTTTTTTTTTTTTTCTTTTTCTAAGCACCATATTTCCAGAGGGATTGTGAGAAGTCATTTAATTTATCTGTGTTAAATGTGCTAGTTGAGAAAATACTACTTCCCTTCTCTAAATATAATGGCAAGCACTTTGTATTAGTGATTTGTCTTTCCTTCATTCTTCTGTCTTGTTCCAAGTGCAGATTAACTCCATGCAATCTTTTATGAAATTTCTGAGCACTGTAAAGTTGATGAAGAAGAGATGAATCCAGATTCAGGCTGTGTTTGTGGCCCCAGCTTTAAGCCAAGAATGGTACATCTGAGCAAGTGGCACTAATAACCTCCTACAATTAATCTCCATTTCATAGCAGCAAAACTAATTGAAGCTTAGTGGCCTTGGTCGCTTGACAGATTTCTGTTTGAAGATGTTAGAGCTAGAGATCCAGCTTTCCAAGCCATTTAACTATCTGTGCTTTCTCTCCTTCCTCTTGCAGTTTATTTCTGTATTGAGAGGGAAGAAAAGAAAAGAGTCAAACAGAAATGTGGAAATAAAGGAGATAAATGGGGAGAGCCAAGCAAAGCCTGATTCAGCAGGGAATGAGACAACGTCCAGCTTACCCTCACAGCCCCGACCAGCCCAGGCTCCCAGCATGGCCAACAGGGTGGAGTTCTCCAGGTGGGTCCGGCAGACAGTGCAGGAGCAAATCGAGTGGTGCCGCAAGTTGGTGGACATCAGCGATTCGGAGGAGGAGGAGCTCACTTGCTCCAGTTTGGTCTCCTTAACAGATTTGGATGGGCCGTGCTGGACTCGGCAAGAGGAGTGGAAGCAGGTGAGTGGTATAAGCAGGGCTCTGCTTTTGGTGCCTTTCACAGCTTTGTTCTCTGTTCCTTTGAGGAATCTTGCTATAAAATGTGTGGGTCAATGCACAGACCTCTTTGCAAAGAGATTTTTGCTGCTCTGCAAAGTAGAGTTAAGGAGCAAGTCAGTGCTGAAGTGCCATCAGAAGAGCGAATGGATTTTCTGCTGTTTTTTGACTAACTGCTCTGTTCTCTGCTCACTGGGGACATTTTGGTGGATTGTTGTACTATTTCCAGCGCGTCCTATGGCATAAATCACTAGCAAGTGAAGAGCTGTGCATGAGATTCCTGTAGAATGCAGGCTGTGTGACTGGTGCTAGCTGCTGTTCTGCCATTGCCTTTCTCCTAGCCCTGTATGTCAGCCTCTCCACTGGGTTTTTGGCTGTCTGCACTCCAGGCTCTGTTCCAGCATTTGTACCTAGCACAGCACTCCCCTGTTGTATAAATCAAACTGTTCAGGCACAGAGTGGGGTGACAGGTTTTTATGATTCACTGTGGGGGAGATAAATGATAGGCAAGACTGATGATAGAGCCCAGTGTTTATATCACTTAGTGTGTGCATGGGATATTTGAGGCCAATGCTATGAGTGAATACGTCATTTGCTGACAAGGGAGTTGTGATCTTGGATACTAAGAACAGACTGATTCTCTGGTTTTATCCAAGCTGTATGTTGAGTACATTGCTCTCAGAGCCTGGGAACTTGATTTCCGCTTTCTGTTGGACCAGACTGTTTGGGAGACTCTTTTGCGTGCTATGAAACCGTTGTTCCTCACCACCCATCGCAGATGACATCCTGGTATTACACACCTTATCAGCGTAAAGCTGTATATTCAGGTCAGGGTTAAAGAGATTAAACTTTAATCCACGTAGTGGTCACTGAGTCAGCACTTACAGTAGTGAAGGCTGCTGAACATCTAGACTGTCATGCAAACGAGTTTAGTACTAAGCCCACTCTTGGTCTGGGGATCTGCTGGGTTACTTGTCCCGGGACATGTTTTGGGCTGCAGGAAGACAGAAAAGTCTCCTTGAAATCCATGAAGAGCAAAGGGAAAGCTTGTATCAGGCCTAATTCATAGATCTCTCTCTTCCTCAGGCACTTTTGGCGTGGCTGCAGCTCTGGGCTAACAGTATCATCAGTTTTGTGGTGGCTCAGGGCTGTGACAGTCTTGCAGAGCAATATGGAGATTCAGCTGTGATTCAGGAAAGATCTCTGCACTATGGTAGCAGCAGCAGTCCCAGCAGGGATGCAGAGATGGTGCTGTATTTGCTTAGTAAATGTCAATGGGTACACATCATTCAGTGAACTGTTCTGATTATTTCAGATTTTAGACATCCTCTGGAGTGACCCCATGCCTCAGGAGGGCTGCAGAGAAAATACGGTGCGAGGTGGCGGCTGCTATTTTGGGCCTGATGTGACAGGGAAGATCCTTGAGAAGTACAACCTGCAGTTCCTCATCCGCTCCCATGAGTGCAAGCAAGATGGCTATGAGTTCTGTCACAACCGGAAGGTTGGTGAGGGGGTGGTGGAAGGATGCTGGGGTTTCCATCCTGCTGTTGTCTCTGTTCTTCATTTCTTCCAGTGTTGTAGGTTGTTGGCTTGGTTTTGTTTTAGGTTTTTTTTTTTTTTCGAAGTATATATAAAAAGATTGAGCAGCCATATTGGGAGTTACTGAAATATGCTACTAGCTGAGTACTTAGTTTGGGGCAGTCAGAAACAGTTTCTCTGTTGCGGAGAACCGTTACACAGGTAAAGCACATTTCTCTGATGTGAGAAAAGACCTGAATTCATTTGTGCAATTGCCTGCAATTAAAGCAGTTTCTGAAAATTAAATACAAAAGAAGTGATAATAAGCTGCTGCCCTAAAGTTTTGCTTTTGGAAGTCTCAGAGCAACTTCAGTGGCCTCAGCTGAACTGCAGTGGAAAGTGGAAATTTGCTGGGAGAGGGCAGAGAAGCTGCAGAAGCTCAGCATATGGCCAGGTCGATGCAAGGCTGTTATCACCCCTGAGGAACTCTCACCTCACTCTTTGCTTTCCCTGTGAAAATCATGTTCAGTTCTTTCATCATCTGTTGACTTCATACAGGATTAATGCACTGTTTTCATGATACCTATATACATATAACAGAGGATGTACATTCTGACTGTAAATACCTTTCTTTAGGTACTGACCATATTTTCAGCCTCAAACTATTATGAGATTGGCAGCAACAGGGGAGCTTATGTGAAGTTGGGGCCAGACCTGGTGCCCCATTTTGTTCAGTACCAAGCAAACAAGACAGCCCACACCCTCACCATGACTCAAAGGCAAGGCTTTTGTTAATAAGAATTCACCAAGTCAAAATTCCCAAAGGGAAAACTTTGGGAGCTTTGAGAAAGTTTGGTTCCAAAGCTGAACTTTCATAGCTGGATGTTCTAAATCATAGCCCTAAGGGAGGTTCACAAGGGACAAGGAGGAAGCAATTAAGGAAGGTCAAAATAGGTACTGGCTGCTGATTTTCCAGATTTTCTTTCCAATGTCATGTTTTAACTTTTGACCTTCCTGAAGTTCCTTTTCACTTTGTTGCTTTACAAAACTGTACAGCTGCTAAAAATATATGTGGACTGGTGTGATAGAACAACTGAAACAAAAATACGTAAACAGAAACAGGTGTACCACAGTACCAACTGTGGAAGTTTGCTAGGATAGGTTGTTTTTCCCTGGACTTGTACTAATTGCTGACAGCTTATATAGGCAAGGACAGGTTTCTGTTGCTTTGGCAGGGGTTTACTGCATCAGCTGTGGGAAATACTGCTCTAGGTATGCAGTGCCTTGTTACGAACACTGCAGAGAAGCAGTAGCTGTGTAGGGCTGTTGTGTGAGGGTGTGAGCAATCCATGGACGTGCCAGAGGAGTGGGATGTGCAGCTTCCCTTGCACTTCATGGCATGTCCTTAAAATGCTTCTTTCTTCTCTGCATGCTTCAGAATCAGCAGAGTAGAGGAGTCAGCCTTCCGAGCCCTGCGGGAAAAGCTGTTTGCTCACACCTCTGCCCTCATCAGTGCATTCAAGCTGTACGATAAAGACAATACAGGTAAATCTGAGCCATGAGACACTGAGTTAATTCTCTGGTGGGATGAAGTGGAAAAGGTTAAGGTGAGTGCATGTCCGGTTGGGAGATTCTTCACTGACAGCTGTCAGTGACTACCACAGGCTATGTCAGACCTTGCAACAATATTGGTCCCATTTGCTGTTATTCACTCTCTCTTCTGCTTTAATGCCTTATTGTTATGAGGGGGTGTTGGAAGAGAAGCGAGAGATGATGAGCTTAATGTGTGGCAGTTCAAACTTGGTGAAAGGAGAACCTTTTGCACCAGGAGTACTGAGAAAGCACTGTAAAAATGACCTGGAACACATCTGTCACTTGGCTGAGTGGTTTCTAAGCCTCTGCAATCCTAAAGTCTAAAATCTCTTTGAAGTCGAAATTGAAGAATCCCTTTTGTGCCAGCTACCACTGTCAGTCTTAAGGAGAGAGCTGTGAGTTCATAATACTCAGGCTGCTTTTGCACCAGTCAGGAGAATCAACCAAGCTGAGCGGATCTGTCTGTATGTGCCTTGGGGGAAACAGGGACATGGCAGTCAGCAGAACAGCCTTCCTGTTGGGTATTCCTTCCCAGGCTGTGAAATTGTTCCCACGAGTCCAGTTTAACTCTTAGAGCAACTGCTAAACTGGGAGTTTTTCTACATTCCTGGGTCACTGAGGAACTACTCATGTAGTTGTGCAGGCCACAAGCTGCAGGAAAGGACTGGATGCAGGTCACAGATTTGCAATGAAATACACAAAATTAAGTGTTCAGAGGTTTGCAGCTCCATACCCTAATTTGTTGCAGTAGTCAAAAGCTTGCTGAGGCTGGTGGGAGCAGAAAGCACTTGTACTGTGCAGTGGCTGCTGTAGGCAGATGTCTGTAAAACTGTGTAAGGCCTTTACATGAACTGAAGTGCTCACAGGCGCCATGGAGAAATGGAGCTGTCTCTGTCAGCAGGGCAGTAGGCTGGGTAAGCATGCTGTTGTAGGTTTTTTGCTTTGGTGGCAGGGAGAGCATTAACTGCTTTTGCTGTGTTACTGCTTCATGACCCTACTAGCTAGCAGGGCACCTTGAGCGTTTTGTTTGGTGCCAACTGTGTTGCAGTTTGGCATAATAGATCTTCTGGGGTTGGTTTCTAGCCTGGCCACATATAGCACCTGGGAGTGACAGTCTTTACATGTTTTCATCCACTGGTTTCAGCGGTCCCCATGGCTTTCCCCCACAGGAAGGATCACGCTGAGCAACTGGGCAACAGCAGTGGAGTCAGTCTTGCACCTGGGACTGCCGTGGCGGATGTTGAGACCACAGTTGGTACGCAGCACAGCAGATGGCATGCTGGAGTACAAGTCCTGGCTTGATGATTTGGCCATGGAGCAGAGGAGCCAAGAGGTAAGGCCTCACCCCCTTCTGTCAAAGCAGAGCAGCTCACAAGGCCTCAGTGCATTGGGCCAAGCATGGCAGGAGAGGTTAGGAGAGTGGATAGTTCCTGTATAATCCAAAAGCATAATGAAGTCAACAAAGCACTTGCATGAATTTGAGTATTCTAGAGGTGCTTGTTCCATTGTAGAAATGGATGATATGTATGAGATAAAAGCCCAGAGCTAGTTTTGGATACAGGTTTTTGAATAGGAAAACTGTACTCCATTCTGTGATTCACAGCCTTCCTGATTGCACTCAGCAGAAACAACTGCAATGGTTATAGCTTGAGTCCCTTTCTCCTCTGTTGACTTGGGAAATGGTACAGTTGGAAGTGACAGGTTGATGGTGTGCTTTAATTCAGAGCTGCATAGAAGGCTCAGACATCATGAACTCACTTCATAACATATACACAGTGCAAAGTGCACTGCTGGCAAACTCCCAAGAGCCATAAACATTTTTAATTATGTGAAGATTTGCAGCTAGTGATCAGAGCAGAAATACAGACCTATTGAAAAGGGTAGAATGAGCATGACAATATGTTGTCTTTCAGCACATCCAGTCAAGCTTGCTGGAAGTTATCTATCGAAACAGATCCAACCTGGAGACCATATTCAGGATCATAGACAGAGATCATTCAGGTAAGGAGGTGTATAAGGTGTGTTGATCACTGTGTTTCATTCCATTCTACTTTTGGTCTTCCTTTAGTATCTACTAAAGGATTCTGATTGAACAGTAAAGGGCATGTATCTTCCTTCCTGTATCAGCCTCAAGAGCTTCTATATTATCAATGCATATGTCCACAAATGAGGCGTTTCAAAGGAATTGTGCAGCTGATTTTCTTTTTCCGGAGGAGTTCAGCAGAAAAAATGGTTATGAGAGCAATGATAATAATGCAGCGTCTCTGGGTTCTGAGTTATCTGCTCATGAGCAGTTATCTCCACCAAATCACATTAGGGAGGAGAACGGACAAGTCTTTCTCTTGTTCCCACACATTGTTTTATGTCTCTTTGCCACTTTTATTTTGTAGTTTATCCATTGTTCTCTGTGCTAGGAACTTTAGCTGTAGAATCTGAAAGTCACTTCCTTCCTTTAGGGTAGCAGGCAGTGAATCTGAGCAGGTGCTGGCAAGCCTTGTACTGAGGCAGCTGTGCCTCTTCTGCCTCACAGGTCTCATCTCATTTGAGGAGTTCCACCAAACCTGGAAGCTGTTCAGCTCCCACATGAACATTGAGCTCACAGACGATGGTATCAATGACTTAGTTCGCAGCATTGATTTCAATAAAGATGGAAACATTGACTTCAACGAGTTTCTAGAAGCCTTCCGCCTTGTCAAACAGTCCCAGCAGTGAGAACCCAGGGCAGGGCATCACATCCAATGCCTTGTCTGCAAAGCCAGGACTGCTTCCTACCTAACTGCAGAGCGTGCCCGCAGCTACAAACCAGAGGAAGGGAAGGCAGGTTCCTGATGCTCTTCATTGAAGACTGGGACCGCCCAGCCAACAGCTGTGATCCATGTGGGGAAGGTAATGATAAAATAGATAAGTTATACCTCAGTTATGACTGCATTGTAAAAGGAACTGTGTTATAAATAGAAAACTCTGCTCAAGGGGAGAGGCAAGTTAATTTCTCTCATCAATGCATGTCATGACATTTTACAAGTCTATTCAAGTTGAGTAAAATTAAAGGTATTTCTTGGAGGGACTGCTTTACTAGCTAGCAATTGCTAGAGCACAGTCTTCCTTAATAATAAACTTTTTTCTAGATGCCTTGTTCAAAGCTGTTCATCATGCCTTCTCTAGATTTTCAGTTCTACTATAAACAGTGCTATTTCTGTGACAACATCTATTTCTCCCATTGTTCCTTTGCTTCACTAAGATATATCTACTAAAATATGCAGTGGAGCAATGCATAGAAAAAATAAACTACCATCATCTCATATTTACTGAACAGTCTCTTCCACACGCTCTTAAATCTGCCAAGGGTACCCTTTTGATACTAACTACTCCCCAGCTAAAGCAATGCTGCTTTATGCTTGAGGTTGTTCAATTTTGAAGCATGATGCCACTGCAGCTTAAAAACCAATGGGGGAGCATTTAAATTTTTAAAGAAAGTGTAAAGGAAACACAGACTCTCTTTCTCTCATACCTGCAGCAGAATCATTCTAGCAGGGGTGCTGTGGCCTTGGTAATCATCTTCTTGGGCTAATGAACAAAATTCTATTTCTAAGGTGAGTTCTAAATGTGCTGTACAACCTTCTCCTTTAGGGAATTAGGTATTTTTGTTTCAGTTATTTTCTGTGGCTTGAGGCAACTTGAGGACAGAAAAGGTGGTTCTCCAGTGCTTCTAGTACCACTCTGCAGTACTTGGTACCAGGTAGGATCTAAGGGTATTGGATTTTAGTTTGGGGACTGAAGCTGTTAAGGAGTGCTGTGGCATCAAACTGAATAGCTTGTTACGTGCAGTGCCTAGAGGAAGTGAAATGCATTAACTTGGATTTGCTGGGAGCTTCACAGCTTTACTGACAGAGCTGAAAAGGAGCCAACGTCATGCACACTTATTACAAAGTCAGACTGAATTTATTATTTTCCAGAAATTCAAAATAAAAAAAAAAAGCAGAAGACAATATCTAGACACTGTTTTTAGCTGAGGGGCAGAAAAGCACTGTAAAATTCACATATGTAAACAGTCCAAAGGAAGGGCATACCCTGGAAATGCCCCAAAGAACTACCAGCATTACAAAGACCAACATAGTTCAGACATTTCTGTAAAGATTTAGATTAGCTCTTTACATAACATTACTCAGCTGTTTTGACAAAAACATGGAAGCAGCTAAGCTTCCACAAACCAAGTCACAAGTGGAACAATTCCCTCAGCACTGCATTTCTAAGACAACTCTGCTGTAATTAAAGAAAAAAAAAATGTACAATAGTACATATTGTTTTATAGTAAAACAGTATCTGAACAGATTCAGTTTTCTTTCTTTCTTTAAAGCGTATACAGCTTTACAAAATATAAACCTTCCAAAGGTCAAATTCAAAAGCTTAGAAGAGGCTTTGCAAATTCTAAAAAAAATAACAGCCAATACACCATTGCTCCTGAAAGATGCACATTTTATTTTACCTCACCAGTTTTGGCCTTGGAAGGTGAATGATAAACTCAAATAACATTCCACGTGAGCCCAGCAGAATCCTGCTCGTCAACTGAAGAAACCTCCTCTCATGGGAATGCTCTCATTCAACTCATGTTCTATCAGTTTGATGTCCTCCAAGTCATCTTTTATAATGCTAATTAGGTGACTCAGGCCTTCTTGCTGCTGCTTCAGATGCTGCAGGTAGTTTAAAAACCAGTGTGAGTGTTGTTTAACTTCACAGATTAAGTCAGATTTCTCAAAGTAGTCATATCTAGAAGCCTTAGCACATCAAAAAACATAGCAAATTACTTTGTAAAGAAGAAAAAACAACACTTTCAGCACTAACAGCTTAATTCTAGCTTTATACGACCTTGAAGCATTGCAGTTGAAAACAGGAAAAAGGAGTTTACCATCAAACAGCCACAAAATTCTAAATACATCTCCCAAATTATTGCCTCGCTGGCATAAATTAGGAAATGGAAAGTATCTCAGCAGTCAACCAGGTAATACATACTTGCTTTATTTCTCTTAAGAGGTCTGAATCTATGTAATAACGCTCTTCAGCCCTCACTGCTCCAAAGTGGTTTTGCATCCTGATTTGGGACATGAGCTCATTCAGTCTGCCCTATGAAAAGAGAAGAGAGAGACTTAAACTAAATGCTACTTATTTATATAGAATCATAGAATCCTTAGAGTTGGAAGGAATCTTTAAAGGTCCGTTACATCTGTCAGAGCACATGCATGGTTTGGAAAACTTTACACGTAGAGGAAAAGAACAGGGTCATCGGTCAAGTTCTGGGCAAAAATCTTTCAACTACTCACTCTGAACTGTGTTGGTGCGTTAAGTTCACACTGAATTATATCTAACTGTACACGAAGCTGTTCTTCATCTGCCTGAATGGCATAGCCACTTTTCCTTTGGATCTCTTGTTTTATTAACACCTGCAAAAGAAGCCTTTGAGGTTTGTTAGAGAATACTTTGCTCATCTCTTTCCCTACCAGCCCACCCCTTTCTCTTTCTGTTCTTCCACTGGTAACTCGCTCATGAGATTTATTTTGTCATTCCTTCTGCTGCTTTAAGACTTCACAGTAGTCCCACAGCTTCTGAATAAGCTTTCCCTGACAGCTCTGCACGTTAATTCCATTTACAGGAAGACAGAATTTCATTTTCAATATCAGCTGTGCACATGACTGCACAGGTCATCTGGGACCCCATCCCCTGTTGGTTTGCTTTCTGACACCTAACTAGTTGTCAGAATGAGTCACTTAACAATGCCCGTGTTACCTGTAACGTTCTGTGAGAAAGAGCCATCAGTTTCCTTTTGTATTGTGCAATTTTTGCCATAGTTGTAGTCTGGTTTTTCTGCAACTCACTGATATCTTCTGATATTATCTGCAGAGGATACAAATTACTTTGAAGTTGTATAAGTTTGTGATAACAGAGCACAGTAGTCCTAATTTGAAACCAGCTTGAAAATAGTACTCAGTTCAGCAACTGAAGGTCCTTGCAAAAGATGCTTTCAATAAGTTTTTTGCTGGGCCGCTGCTGTTTGTTTTCATCTGCAAGTGGGATTTCCAGAAGGCATGAAAAATATGGCTATCCAAATTAAAAGTCTGAGTCAATGCAACTTAATTCAGCCATTTTGAAAAATCCAAGTTTGATTTAGCCTATAACAACACAGTAAACTTGAGCCTGAAAAACCAAAACCCAAAACGTAATTTTGGCCAAAGTATATAATTAAGTAATATATTATGGAACAGTGAGGTGAAAAAAAAGAAGTCACCACAATCCAATGCATGTTGTTCTACCTTCAGTTTTTTTAGCATACAGAAGAAATGCTCATTTTATAACAAATCCTTCAGCAGTAGCAAGTAATCATGATAAAACTAAGACAACTTACATCTAAGCGAGTTTGATGCTGTTTGGTCATCTGATCTTGGACCTTCAATCTTCTCAACAATTCCTTGAAACCCACCATGGGCACAGGAATAAGCCTATAAATAAGTAAGTATTTAATACAAACGTGTTGTAAGAAATAATTAATGATTACAAGTGATCTTGGCTGTTGATAAATTAAGATTTAAAAAAAAAAAAAAAAAAGAAAAGCAAAAGAAAGTTCTTCATCCTGACTCCTCTTTAAGCACCTGAATGAGTAAAGGAACTAGGCAGCCATTTCTAGTTAACTTCATTTCTTCAAATTATATCAGCACTGGACAAAGTTGTCCTATAAGGGGTTTCTTACCAGTTACTGGAAGACTACTACAGTATATTCAGCTTTTCTCCCCTCTTTCTAGGTACTTTTATAATAGTCAGACTATCAGACTTACTTGTCAGGATCAGGATTATCAACTTTGGCTTGCTCCCAAATAATAGGATCAACACCTAAAATAAATAAATAAAATTATCTGACTAGATAATGTAAATAATGTATCTTACAGCTGTTAAACAGGTAAAATATTAGGAAATACACAAACCCCAAGAAGTATGCTTAATGACAGTTGTACAAACTAAGGTTAATCAAACAAGGGTAGCTCTTAAAATCTTGGTCTTGGGCTGGGTGCCAAAAGACACGCTCCTGCTGGCCTTAAAGGGCAGGGAAGCAACGATCAACAATTGATCCAAGCAGACAGTCATGTTTAAACAAGAAAAATTCCTTATTATTTCTGTAAACAAAGACTAACAAACTGTGCCCAACCACCATCCTTATGACACATCTCCAATGGTGAAGACCATCTTGCAACACAGTGCCCCCTTCCTTAGCGCTGCAGCAATGAAACTCTGCTGCTCATCCCCACCTGCAGCTTGGCTGTTCTGCCCAAGTACTTGCAATCCAGGTGTAACAACTGCTGTGTTTCAACACTGGTCCTAGCAAACACACTACACAGAACCTGTTATGTACCATGCACTGCTTTCCCTACCCACCAGAGGGAGTTCACTGCAAGTGCCACACATAACATTTCATTGATATGGAGCATATACTAAGATTATCTTGAGCAGCAAGCTAAAATACTCATTTACTATCTGTAGCCATGTGACATACAGATATGGGCTAAGAGACACCACTTTCACCACTCAAAAAAAAAAAGCCAACAGCCGAGGAAGCAAAAAAAAGGACATGATTATTCTGACATACAGCTTTTTAAAACAAACAGCACAAAACAACTTCCATCAGACGAGTCAAAGTAAGTGACAATGGCGGCCAAAATCACACATAGTCCATGGCTGTGTGGCATACCACTGAAAAATTAAGCTTTTGCACAAGTGTTTTAGCAGACTAGGTTGCACTTCAGCAGCTAAGCTAGCTTGTAATTAGAACAGGTCAGCACACCAGAATGCCTTCAAAACACCTGCAGCTTTAAATGGTGTTTTCCAGTGGGCTGACACCCGCATTTTTCCCAGAGAACCAATAAGCACCTGGCAGAGGCCTGACCGTGCCCTGAGGAGCCCCTGACCACATACCAGCAGGGGGGTTTTGAAGGAGCTGTTTGACTTGGGCTGGGGAGAGCTCTGTTCTGGCCATGGAGAAGCTGACCCCCAGCTGCTGCAGGGATGATTTTATGTTGGCTTGTTCAAAGTGGGCGTAGAGGGTGGTTGCTGGAACTCTCCTTGAAGTGCCATTGGGTGAACGCTCAACAACATAAATGATCACTTCTGTCCTGAGCAAGACAAACACATAGTGTGAGACAAAGAAACAGCGTAGAGAGGCTAACTCAATGGAGAACAAACCTGAATTGAAGTTTGCTTTTCCATGTTGATGGTTAACTTTAGCTAAGTGAGATATCAAGTAGAAATAAATCTACGGTTTAACACAGCGCAGCAGAAAATAGCCTACAGGCACTGCAAATAGTCTACAAAATATGGTACCCCCAGTTTTAACAGCCATACTACACAGTGACACTAGTACTGCATTAAGAATAATGCAGCAGTAATGAAACGGTAGCAAAGTAACAAGCAGAAATATCGGCATCATCTGAAAAGCTTATTTCCTGAATTGAGCTGAGGGTTCTCAGCTGTGCACTCCAGAAAAAACAAGCCGCATACATAAGAAAGATAAATGGGCTTAATGCCTGAAGTAAAACAAGATGCAGTGAGTCCAAGTTAAAGAGATCTAAAAATTACTAAGAGTGGAAGACAGAACCACTATCACTTGGCGCTCAGATTAGGTGCCATCCCTTTTTATAACATGCAACCCTGAAGAAAAAAATCAAATTGTGTCAAATTCACATACTGGTCATCTGGCATCGTTTTAACACCTTCTACGTTGACAGTAAGGGTCTGGTTTCCTCCAAGAATTTTGTGTAGTGATTCCACGAGCTGCTGCTGCTGGCTTCGAATATCTACTTCTTTTCTGTTGAAGACCAAGACCACAAGGCCATCTTCATCTTTGTTGTTGGGCATTAAACTGTAACCCACAGCCTGCAAATGAACAGACAAACAAACAAAAATACATTACTCAGCAAAACACATCATGTGGCATGAAGGGGAGGGACTAAATCAAGATAAACCCCTCAATTGGTTCCAAATGCAAGTCACAACATATTTACATATGCAAAGGCATAACATCAATCTCCCTGTGTAAGTATCCTCACGAGGCCACTGGTAGAGTATCTTTCAAAAAAGAAAAAACAAAAACCAGAATTTTCAAGAAAAAAGTTTCTAAGCATCCATTCCTCATTTTCAGTAAACCAGAACTATGCACTGGGAAATGGCAGCTTCAAGAAAATTCACTAGAGAATTCTAAAAAAGCTTTACATTTCCAGATGTCTAAATAAAAAATAGTTACTGACATGCCTAATTGAAAGCCAGCCACAAATCTTCATGGATTTCTTAACATTTCTAATCCTGTTGACCCAGTTTGCCTGGCAGTATAAGTCAAAACAAAAAGATGAAATATTCCTGTTAACTAATACACGCACCAAGTAAGGTTTTTGGGCAAGAATTTAGGATAGCCAGTTTTCCTTACTTTGTTAATTGTCATTTGTTAATTTGCACACTTGCTTGTAAAATTTAACAATATCTTTATCCTGTGATAGAGCTGTAGTAAGGTTAGATGTTTTAATCCAACATCACAGTCTAATAGCAGAATCCTTTCTGCTATCTGTGTTAAGTACTGGTGCAGTCTCCCCAATAAAAAAAAAATAAAACACTGTCGGCTCCAAAATTAACTCCTCACACTTGTATGGAAGACCTAAGCTGATAACTCATCGTAAAGGATAACTCATTATAAAGGGATAGGCGTGTTTCATTTCATCTTGCCTCAGAATCGCTGCACCAACCTACTGTCAGTGACATGTTGCGACAAAGGCTGCCCTTTAAGGCCTCAGCAGTGCATGTGGATGATTTGTGTCTTTCCCCACGTGCAAGTCAAGCTGAAGAGAGAAACAAGCGGGGGATGTGTGCCAAAGTCTCTGTTTGCAGAGGGTTGTTTCCCACAAGGGTGAGCCTTGCAGAACTTGGCTGGGCTGTTGTGGCAGGGAGCACAATAGCCACAGCTAAGGAACAATTCAGAACAATAGGGACAAAAACTCACGTCTTGGGACCTCCATGTTACTGGAGCTACATTTGTCCCTGATGTAAGCCCTTTATTTCTTCTGCTACCTCAAAAGAGAAACATACTATCACCTACTTTAAAAAACAAACAAACAAACAAAAAAAGCATCTGTTTCATTTCCTTAGTTCTGAACAAAGCCAGCCTGTGGGAAAAGACTCAACAACACAAGAAAGACTAAAGCCCATTATACACCAAGGTAAAGTACTAAGCAGTACCATGTTTTACTATGCAAACTAGTACTAAGACCACATATATGCCACTCCTCCAACAGGTCTGTCTAAAAAAAGATAAATAAATAAAGATCCCTTTTCAGGATTTCTCTACAAAATTAAATATTTTCAGGCTGGCACGGTTGTTTTGTTCTGCTTGGTTTTTTTCTTTGTCATGGTTGTTCACATGACAAGCTTTATACCATACCTTAAAAGCACACTTTTCTTGGTTAGAAATAGTTCTTATTTGTTCCAAAACAGGAATTATGCACAAATGAACTCCTCAGCACCCATGGAGCCCTTCCAGCAACATTTCATTCCTGTCAGATGCCCAGTGTGTACAGAGGTGATAAGCCAAAGGAGCTTTGCTCCAAGGCCTATACTAACAACTTAACTACTTTCTTGGAGGCATCTGCCACGGCCAGCAGACAACTGATTTCCCAGCATTTCACATAAGGCATGGGAGTTCACGATGGCAGTGCCAATTCTCACATCACAAGAGTAAATGCAGTACGTGGCATTCCATGCCTAACCTGAAATGAGAACTTCCTTATTTTAGAAAACAGAACTCCAAGATTACCAGTTTGGTATCACATAATTTATACTTTGCTGTTCTTTGAAAACTCATAAAGCTTTAAAGCTGCTTTAGGTGATGACTTCCAAGAAAGTAGGCTTTCATGTGCTCCATCATCGAAATGCTCAAGATAACAGCTAAAAAGAAACCAATGCATGAGAAACCAAATGGTTGTTAGGCATACACTGAGCTGACACAAATATTTTATTAAAATGTCACAATATGAAGACCAAAACTGACCATTAACCTACACTCAGGTTAGAACGTTTGCCCTTCAATGGATCTCCTTGGGAAAAGAGTATCACCATGCCTGGCCTGACCCAAATCCACAAGTCCAAAGCTTAGCAAGAAAGCTTAGCAAGAAAGTCAGCAGGCACAAGATTTGTGGAGGATCAAGATATGCAGGCTAGTATACTTAAGGCTGATATACAAAGCTGATACATTTAAGACAGTGTGCACTGACCAGGCTCTTAGTTGGTTTTAATAAAGGAGACAAAAACCCCAAACACCCTGGAGTTCCTGTTCCAGATACTGAAAGATGTGAAGATCATTTTTAATAGTTTCTGTAATGCTGTAACCTAAACAAATGCATGTTAAAATTAATTCCTGGAGATCTGATCCACACACACTAATCTAAGTGCTGTCATAGAAGAGGTAAGTTTCATAATCACTGAATGTTTCATGAGCCACATATGCACTTCCTATCTAGAATCTCAGCAATATCTGGACTTTTAGCATCTGTACACCTGCAGACCTCTTCATATTAATACATGCATCAGCAGTGCAAAAATTATCCGGAAAAATGCTTTCATGTTACTCTTCACAGAAATAAAATTAATTTGATATTTGTGAGCTATTGAGACAAGGAATCAGCCAGCAGAGTCATCACTTCAGAACCATTTGTGAGCAGGTGAAAATCTCATACCTTAAATCTGCAAAATGGGTTTTCCTGTGTGAACTCCACTGGAGCGATGTTATTGCTGAAGTACCCCTTGCCCGTTCCCCAGAAGGCCTGCAGCTGGTTCCATTTTGCCAAGATGGCATCTCTCTCATCTCCCAAGAGTGTCGGAGCTGAGAGAGCACTGGCAGTATTGATGAGCTGGTTTGACTGGGCAGGTGTCTGAGCAGGCTGGCTGAACAAACCGCCTCCTAATGCTGCATGGGATGGAGAAACAAATGAACTCCTTTACCAACGAAGATGGCGTGCTTGCTAATGCATGCTGTCTGTGTATCATCGACACTACTTCTTTTCACATTTTCAGAATCAAAATAAACACACAATAAGCATAAATCAGTGGCATGCTTTATGCAAGCACCTTTTTACACCCAATCTTCATCAGTAAAAGAAGTTCCTGTTGGCTGAGTTAAGAGACTTACTCTTTCGTATTTAAATAAGACAAATACATTCACACGTATACATGATCTGGTACCCTGAATATCTTAATGCAAAAGGTAGCTTTGCTGTTATAAATTCAGCAGGCTTGCAGTCATTCATAATCCAACTTGTTTAAATTGAACAGTTTCCCTCCTCCTTCTAACAAGGCCATGGCTGCTTGACATCATTTCTGAACCCACTCTCTCCCACCACTAACTCTAAGTGGCAAATACTGTCACCAAAAACTTGTCTAAGCTCATTCAAGAAAAGGGCAAGGGCTGAAAACGTAGGTATTTCAAAAGACAGATCTCTGAGAAGCCTCCATTCAGCCTAAGTTCAAGTGTAACAGGCTCCCTTTATGGAACACTTCAGTCTTACCACTCAAGCTCCAGTTGCCCTCTAAGTCTTTCTTTGGCAGCCAAAGCATAAATGAATAGAAGGCTGTACTTACAGGTCTGCTGCTGCTGCTGCTGCTGCTGTTGGGTACCGAAGCCTCCAAAGCCTAACCCAGTTCCCAACCCAGTTCCCAAGCCAGTACCAGTTCCTGTCCCAAAACTAGTACCAAATCCAAAGCCTTTGTTCTGGGAAGCACCAAACAGTCCTGGGAAAATAAGCAAAGAATTATTGAGAACAGGATAAAAATCCACGTGAGCTGCAAAACATTAATTATTACGAAGGGCTAATGCTACACTTCATTCTAAAGTGAATACTTTCAGATTTGTGCTCTTACCGCTGGTGCCTGTGTTGGTGGGAGCAGAAAAACTAAATGCTGGCGCTGCAGTGGTAGTGGTTGTCCCAAATCCTCCAAATGCACCTAATGAACAAAGTTTGCAGGTAAGGCAGGCTGTGTGCTGTGAGTGGCAGCTGTGCACAAGATGACAAGTAACTGCATATTTCAATGGGTGTTATGAGATGCAGACAGATGCTTTATGTGTTATTTTACAAGCATGTGGTTTTTTGGACACTGACCATGGGGACCAAGTTCATTATCCAAGGGAATGGGAAATAACACAAACCAGAAAGCCAATACATCCACGGTATGTCAAGAACGCAAACAGAAAAACAGCAGTAACAAATGCCCTGTGACTTGTGGCAGACGCAACTTGCAATAATTTTTCTTAGAGTGGTTGGAATTCCTAAAAATTAATATTGTGGCTAAACATTTAATAAGCAATCATGTTTCATGAGCTTTTTTGACATTTATAAAATCCTAGGAGCAAAAAGAAAAGCAGCTGAAGTCTGAGACCAGGGTGCACACAATCACTGCACCCACACAAAAATGCTGCCAGAGCAATGATTTCTTTCTCACACAAGTAAAATTATGAAATGTCTTTTTTCCCCAAGGCTGCTTTTCCCATCATCTGGAAGTTTCCCCATCAACCCTCACTTTGAGGTTCAACTGTCATCCAGAGAAGAACACACTAAACTTGTTGGCTTCCCACAGGTTTTCAAGAAAACCAGCTGCTGGCTAGCAGGAGGAAACCCAAGCACAGGCCCAAGCCCCACCATGCCTCCCAAAATCTTTGCATTTGTCCTTCTGATCACGCCATCTCTTTGCACTCTCTTTGCTGCAGTGGTGCTAACACACCATCTGACCCAATGTGCAGCATGTGAACATCTGAATAGCCCCATGTTTCAAATCCTCTGTGTTTCTGACAGATTTTACACATATTCAAATGGAGATAGACAGTTCAGTACATACAATGCATCAAAACAAAGCAACGCTGCCAGTGCTTATTCACATGTCCATAGCAAAAAAAAAAAGTCAGTTTAGACCTACTGCACTTACCGTCTTGTATATACATACAAAATAATGAGCTCAAATCAAAGCTGACATGCAGCCACATTTTCTTTTAATTTAGCAAACAACACAACTAATTACAAGAGCTGCTCCCTGAAACTTTCAGGTTTCAGTCCTATCAGCAAGTGAGCAACCTTAGCAGGAATACCATCAGATGACACAATTTTTAGATAGATTCCTATTCACAGCAATTCAGCATCCTTTCTTAGAGAAGGATCTAGAAGTGCAAACTACTAAACTAAATAATGTATCCAAATTCTCTTGGATTAGTTTCAATTCAGCTCAAGAAATAGTCCAGTAGCACTCATACCAAATTAAAAACCAAACCAGATCCCCTGAACTCACAAAACAGGTAGGAGTATTCTAACACAGGGAGTGACGATGCTGTGGAATGAATATAACTCCTATACGAGCAGCGGCAACGAGAACCAAGGGATAATTCTATATGGGAAAAAGCATGAAAAATCCATGCAGTTGAATGCGTTGGTTTTTTTTTTTTTTTACAGAATGGAAAAGACATAACTTGAAATTTATCAGCTGGTCACTCGGAATTGATAAGCCTACATGGGGACACAAAGGGTTTTCTCAACAAGCAGTCAGTGCGCACCATGCTGGACAAAACCCTCCCAGAGAATCACTTTGCAGGGACGTGCACCACGTCAAGAGGCAGAACAGTTTTAGGAATGGACATAACAGTGAGGGCCGTTCATTTTTATGCTGATCGTATAAAATTTGTTTCTCCACAGAAACAACTGAAGTGCAGCACATTCACGGTAACCAACAGAAGGCCGATGAGGAGACATGGAGAGAATGAAAACCATGACTGCAGCAGTCCAAGAATCTTACGTGAGGAAACAAGGCATTAGGGATCAGCCCTGCAATAGTTCTGATGGCCCAGACTTAAAGGCAGAACCAATGTTTCAGTTCTGCTGTGTGAGCGAAACTCAATTTTGGACTGGGTAAGGTTAGCAGGGTACCACGATTCATCTCCAGTTCAGTGTCTAATCAGGCATGCAGCCATTATTCCTTAACAGCTATTTCTAGACAATTTAGTAGGAAAAAAATCCCTTACAATTATATGGCTCTACAACTTATTTCACTTCCAGAGCTTTTAAACCTCCAGTCTTCACAGCATATGAAGAAAGTTCAGCACAGATTCTGAGTCATGAACGCAATTCTTGGACCTCTGCTATTAACATTTATTACAGAACAAATATTTGTGCAATATCTACCTGCACTTGCCAGACTGTTACCAAAATTGAATGGTGGAGTTGAGGTAGTAGAAACACCGAAATTCCCAATATTAAAATTCACTGCGGGATTAGCAGCTAATCCGAAACCCCCAAAATTAAACCCACCGGCGGTGGAGTTTGTGGTTTCAAGCCCACCAAATCCTGACAAGCATGAAGCAGAAAGAGAGCAAGGCAGCGTTAGTTCTGGGAGAAAGGCAGGTTCAGAAGTAACAGCTAACATACTGTTTTGGCACCAGAGACGAGGCAGGCTGGTTAATAACGAGAGTAAGGTATTAACTGGCACCAAGCGCGAATTACTAAGCACCTAAAAGCAAGGTTTAAGCCCGTTCTCCCCAAGTTACTAGTGGGATGGCGTTCCGAGCCGCAGGGCACGGGAAGCCCAGGGACGCCCAGCAGCACGCCGACGGGACTCGCTCCAGCCGCACTCACAGCCGCGGCTCCGGCGGCCCTTCACGGCTTCTCCTCCACCGCCTCTCCCTCAGCGGCCGCCGCGCCCCTCCGTTCCCACCCGGAGGCCCCGCACTCACCGCTGGGGTTGGAGGCCCCGGCGCCCGCCGCCGCCCCGAAGTTGAAGGCCATGAGGGGGCCGCAGCGGCGGGAGGCGTGCCCGCAGCCCTTACCGCCGCGAACAAACCGGCGGCTCTTCCGGTCCCAGCCCCACAGCCCTTCCGGCTGTTGAGGGACGCCGGGCCCCGTCCGCGCCGTCATGCGCCGCCAGGCGGCCCGGAGGTACTACTGCGGGCCGGGGGGCGGAGGGAGGCTGCCGTCGCGGCCCCTCTTGCTGGAGGCGTTTCGCTAGCTGAAGCGCTAACGTTCTCTTAGAACTTTCTCAAAGCTCGGAGATGACTTCGCTGGCAGCGAGCACGCTTACTAATGCGGATCGTACTAACGGCAAGCATTGTCAGCCGTCCCAGTTGGAACCAAACTTGAACAAGGCATCGGCGAGGCAAAAAAAAGCCAACAGAGCAAACCAACGGAGAAAACCAAACAAAATAAATCCCACAATACTTCTAAATACTTTTAAACTTCTATTTAGAAGAAAATGATAAATTTTAAAACGTGTTTCATTATCTAGATCTAATTGAAATGCACCTCAATTAGAATACTCCATCAGGAGAAAAAAAATCCCACTTTTGTGACTTTTTAAAAGCAAGCTTCCACTTGGCAAGTAAAAAACACGTAGAGCTTTTCCAGGCCCCACACGTAGCTCAGTCTGGAGGTTTTTAACTCGAACAACAGATGTCACTGACAAACCGACACACACAGAAAGCACAGTGCTGGTAGCTGTGATACCACCCGTGAGAAAAAGCACACCACTGACGTACCTTCCACCATCACAGTGCATGTTTGGTTTGTTTTCTCTTTTAAACCCCCCAAACTTCAAGGATACCCCCTAAAGGCAATGGGATCAGAGCAGAGTTAGAACAGTTACAAGATCAGAATGGAAAAGCACTTCCAATCGTTGGCTTCTTTCTACCCGCTAACGAGAGATACTTAATGAATTTCACGCGGTGGTTTGGATGAGTTGTACAGATCCGTTTGTGAAAGGACCCATGACTTTAATAACAAACAGTCAGTGCAAACCCGTAGTAAGCAGCGCGCGGTACTTTACAGAAAAGACAACAGTGAGGCTACAGGAAACCAACAGGTGTGTGAGTGACACAGGAACCTGCTGCATCTCTACAAGGGTTCTTTGCAGCCCACGCTCCTAAGGCCATTTGCAAGTGTTACCCGTCGTTTCTATAACGAATCAGGCCATTTTATTTTCACCGATAAAGTGGTTATGATCGTCTCTGAGTGTCAGTGTAGGTACAAGAGAGCGCAGGGCTGAAAAAAGCAGGATCTCGAGCAGTTTTAAAATGTAGTTTTGTAGTTGTAACTTAGCTGCTAAGAAAAGTCTCCTCCCCCTGATGACAGTGCGGATTCTCTTCCATCTTTGAACATTACACTTGACACGACTGTTTTTCCACAGTGGACAACACTGGGTAGTGGTAGCTGGTATTAGGTAAGCTCTAATGATTTATTCTCCAAGTTCACGTATTTAAGAAGATCTACTACTATGTCCTGATGAGCGGGGACCTCTCTTCTTCAGTGCTCTGAAAGAAAAAAGTTGCAACAAAGGAAAATTAAATGTGGCACATTCGAGCGCTTCTGTGGTGGGGAAGCTAAATTTCTTAAACTCCAAAGAGGAAAGGAAAAAGCTCTTGGCTCCTACTTCTAAGTGCAGATTTACTAAAGGAACCCTCACTGCACAGGCGAGGTGCTGGAGGGTGGATGGCAGCTTTGGCAGGTACCGGCACTGGGACGATGCAAAGAGATTTCCCTGTGCCTGTGCAGAGGCAGAAGGGGATCAGGGTGAGTGGAAGAAAAGGGCCAGGATGCACTCCCCTCAGCAACTTCTACCCGAGTTTGCCTGTGACACAGCAGGCTCAGAAGCCCAAAGGAAAAAGGACCAGGCTCTCATGAAAAGGAACCTGAACTATGGTCCTGAGAGCCCCTGGTGGTGCAATGCTTCCTGAGTACCCAGAGGCATACAAGACTGAAGCAAAAGAGCCAGAGATCAGCTCCTCGAAGCCGCTGCTTGAGGAAGGGAGGCTGCACACCTCTCCACCAAGCTGCTGCCACCGCCGCCACAACCCCAGCTGGCACTGGGTCCAACAGGCTAGAAGTGCACACGCAGCACAGCTGTGCGCTCTGGGGGTCCTGTGTGCTTTCCTACATGGCTCTAAAGAGGTGCTTGGGCAGCATCATACAAGCAACACCACACTAAGATCACAGCAGCTACAGGAAGAAAGCAGCCTACTAGAGTACCCAGTCTGTTCCTTCAACCAAAGAATCCAAAGTTTATCTCATCTGGACCCTTCTGTCTTAGGGCGAAATTTTGGCTCTCAACGTTGTTAAATAACGGCCTTAACACCATGACATTTTCAAACAGAATTTTTCATAAATAGGTGTACAAACTAGTATTATCTGGACAGAACTATTTGCATGCTGCTGTTTGTAAAATTCATCCATTCTTTAGTTATAAAATTGCATTATGATTCTGAAAAATAATCAACTGGCATAAGACAACTATTTCTACTGAGAACACTGTCAGACTGCCTGTGACTATATCTGTTCATCAAATACGGTGGGCTTTTTGCACATTACCCTTCAGGGTCCTCTAGACAGGCTGATTTTTATTTTTTATACTACTATCAGCAAGGAAATTAGGCACAGAAAATGCTACCTGTCTTACCACAATTGTCTCTTAGATTAGCTGCATTCCTTTGTTTTGGTGCTTTTATTCTGTGTCTATTAAAACATCGCTTCCCTAAAAAGGTCATTTTAAACAAAAACGACACATTAAAATGTTTCTGTGTAGACAATGAAGAAGTAAAATCAACTAGAAGAAAACCAAACACAGACAAACATACAGTAAACAAAGTCAAATTCAAGTGTTACTTACCTCTTCTCTTACTCCCTGAGACCTGCACACAAGCACACTAAAAACAATCCCAAAAACAATTCCTATTGCCATGATTACAAAAGGGATTCCAGTTACAACACTGGCTTCCAGCAGGACGTGCTTGAGTTTGTTGGCAGATGCTTCATCAATCAGAACGCTCTGGAGTAGAGAAGAGATGAAGAGAGAGGAAAAAAAGAATATTTCCATTCTTCATATTAGGCCATTTTACTTTTGTGGGGGTAAGCTAACAACACTCCCACGACTCTGCACCTTTGCTTCCTTGCGTAATGTACCTTCCCTCTGAGAATCCCCAGCTATTCCTCTGAGGCCAGAAGGCAAATCTGGTCTGCATTTCTAAAGGAAGTAGTGATTAAAATGCTCTGGTTAGGAATGCAATAGCACTGGCCTGGAATAATGACACATATCATCACAGGTACTCTCCTAGAGCGTTCCCTGAATCCAGTGAATTCAGTGATCCAGCACAGCACAGTCTGTACTACTACTGCATTTGCAGAAGTCCCCAGAAACAAAGATGAGATTCTGCACACGTTCAGCCTCTTCACCCGAGCAGCCTTTTTCCTTACTGTCAATATCTTCACAATTAAAAAGACTACCCAACAAAGATTTTCCAGAACTAAACTTAATGCAGTGGTCAACAAGCGGCAGAATGATGTTAATAGAAAACAACTTCCTACTTATCACTACATAAAACAACAGGAAAAAATACATAATTTTTTCATGGCTAGCTCAAAGTCAGTAGTTTTGCAAACATAAACATCTCACAATGCTGCAGAGAACGAATGAAATTATTTACCTCATTTATATACATCACTGGGAAAATTAGTGTTCGGATGTTACCTGTTTCACTGTGTAAAAAAAAAAAAAAAAGAAAAACAGCAATAAGAAATTATGCTTTTCCATTCTTTCGACTTGAGGGTTCTGGAGACAGATTATACAGATTATAACAGAGCTATGAACAAGGAAACTGCCCCTAAAAAAACACTGGGCTGTTGCTTTCTAACGTTGGTTTTCACTTTCCCACTGAACTAGGACAGTGTCAATCTCCAAGAAGCTAAATAATTTCTGGCTTGGGATATGGTGAGGAGAGAAAACAAGGGATCAATGAGAGGCTTGTTAGTAACTAACTGAGTGACAGATACGTCAGTCAGCAGGAACACTAAGCTAAGCTGAGGCTGAATGTTACTCATATTTGTAAAACACAGAAACAGTTGTCTGTCACATAACATTCACAAAGAAGAAAAAAAAGCGTACATGAAGTAACAGCCTACTCCTAAACTGTGTTAATGTAACAGCTCCTGGGCACCAGAAAATAAGGTAGTGTTAGTCTGAAAAAAGGTTGAGCATCCTAAGAGGACTGGACTGATTAAAACACTTATTTTTAGTTATAATATATAGCAAAAGCATGCCAATAAGTAGCAGCTCAGAAGCAGAGAAGCAAAAACAGCTATTATATCTCATAGGCAACAATGAAATCAACAAGTCAGAAAGACACAAGATAAAGGTACTGGTATTTCTACACAACTTTATCTGCAGTTTGTGGAAAGTCCCTCAAACTGAGACAACTAGAAAACCCTGCAGAATCCATTTGGAACAAAGAAGCAGAGGAGCTATTTTACGCACACATGTATTCCCTTACGCAGGATTACACTGACTACCTATGTCAGTAGAGGTTTCTATCCTTATCATACTGTTGTAGTCACAGGCAAGGTCTTTCTCTCTACCTGATCAAACAAGCCCTTCCTCATGAGTGGTGTTTTAAAATCCACCACCTGATCTTCCGCTTTGAAGGGGTCATGTCTTCTCATATGGTTTTCACATGACCGCTGCTGAGAAATGACAGCAGCTGCAGTATTTTTGCCTCCTAAAAGCAGTGAAGAGTAAGATGGCATTACTCACTGCAATCAGCAGCAAAGCCCCAAGTTTCTACCCTCCTTTTGCTGTGGCAGGTCCTTTCTGGAGAGGGTCAGTGTGATATACGGATGCCACTACAAGGATTGTGTGCAACCTGTCTCCAGCAACTTGCTTTTCTTGAGTCTTTACTCTGCAGAAAGAACTCCAATAGCCTCTTGGGCTGCGAGTGAGGAGGATACTGCCATCTGCAATTAAGATT